CCAGCAGTGGCTTACCCTAGAGACCCAGCCTGGGCCACCAGTGTGGTCTGTGGCCTCTGTGGCTAGCTGGAGTGGCTGCTGTCAGTGGCTGCAGCACTTAGTCTTCCCAGTGGCCAGCCTTGTGACTTCCAGGGCTGGGACTCTGACCGTCAACATCTCTCTGCAGCAGTTCCCGGGCTGAAGAGGTAGGGCCACTGGTGGGCGGTGGGCGGACAACTCTCAGCCCAGAGCTGGTCTCACAAGGGCTGGCGCTGCCTGGAGCCCCTCACAACTCCCCGCCAGCTCCCAGAGGCCACTGCTGGGTCCCCAATCCCCACCCTCCTCGCGTGGCCCTGCATACCACTCACCAACAGCACTGAAGACCTCCGACACATGGTGGTTCAGCTTGGCTGAGGTATCCATGAACAGCAATCTTCTGCTCTCAGCAAACTGCTTCCCTTCCTGGGAAAGAATTCGGTGCCTTTGTGAGTGTCCCAAGTGTGCCCAATCTCTAATGCAGGGACACAAGGAGCAGCCAACATGGTGGAGACCCTGGTGCTTGCACTTCTCTGCTTGCCACCTCTGGGAGGCCGAGGCCAGGCCCAGGCCAGAGAGCAGACATCAGGCGGGGACAGCTGGGGCAGAGGATCCCGGCTGCAAAGGCTCCTGGGACGCAGACAGTGGCCAGGAACAGCGGCGGGACCTGGGAGCAAGGGGCCCCTCTGCATGGCCACGGCAGAGTGCAGCCAGGTGGATACTGCCCAGCGGAAGCCACATGTGGGGCAGGCGGCCACAGGCCACATCCAGGCTTCGGAATCTAGCGCTCCCAAGGAAGGGGCCTGACGGAGACCTCTACAGAGCGGCTCTGAGAAGGACTTAAATTAACCAACGGAAGCCTGGCATGGTGGAGGCATGCCTGCATCCCAGCACTCAGGAGGCTGAGGCAGGAGGACCACTGCAAGTCTGAGACCAGCCTGGGCCACAAAGTGAGCTTACAGCCAGTCTGAACTGCAAAGTGAGATCCTGTCTCAAAAAGACAAAAAAAAAAAAGAAAGAAAGAAAGAAAAAAAAAATTACTTGTGAGTTTGCCTGAGATCCAGGGCAGCAGACTCGGGGTGAGTGAATCTGTAAGAGTCACCGGTCCCACTGAGGCCTGCAATGGGGATGAAGCCAGGTGGCCTCGAAGGCAAGACAAGGGCACAGGGAGGGACACCTGGCCCCAAGCTAGATTAGCTGGATGAAGACTGTAGCTGCAGGCACCTCCCTGATGAGGGCCCTCCTGGAGATAGCAGTTCTCCTAAAATAGCATCTGGATTCCTTGGAGACGCCCTTGAAGGGACTCCCGGGCCCTGCCCAGGTCCCTGAATTTTCTTCAGCATCCCCTCCTTTGTTTGAAAAGCTAGTAAATAAGGGTGCCCAGAGTTTTCTGTCTAAAACCTCAGAAAATAGCGAACTCTGTGGGAGGGCTTTCTGATCCTCCAGCCCTGAAATCATACGCTTCATCTCATTTATTTAAGCCTTGGCCGCCCACTCATTTGGAGATCGTTGGCTAGATCAGCCTGCAGTTGCCGGGGGACAGTATTCTTTTTAATTTTTAAAATCATATATGTGTGTATGTATTTGTTACAAGGTCTTGTTATGCAGCTGGGACTCTAGCGATCCTCCTGTCTCAGCTTCCCAGCGCTGGGATTACAGGTGTGCGCCACCAGTTCTGGTGGATGGCACAGGGTGTCTGGAGTTTGGGGGCCAGCACAGCATGTGAACCGGGTCCTTGTGCTTCCCAGGCAGGCACTTAGATCACCGAGCTATCTTCCTGAACCCCTGAGGGACAGTGATAATCACATAAGGGCCCCCAGTGCAACCCCCCAAGTTCCCAAGCTCGCAGCAGAGGGCAGCTCTGGGCACCCCCAGAGGGCCAGGGGATCCCGAGGCCTTGCCCTCCATGCCCAGCTCTCTTCTCACCAGGCTCCCAGCTCCTGCCTTCTCCCCCTCACACTGGCAACAAGGGTGTGGCCTGGCTTGGCCCGGCACCCCTCTCCCAGCCTCCCAGCCACCATCACCATCATCCCCCTCCATGGTGGACCCCAGCCAGTGTCACCGGAGGTCTCCATGGAGACAGTACAGCAGTGAGCACCCCACGTGCAGGTGTTGGCTCCTGAATTAGTTCTCCAGTAATAGGAATGGTGGCCCCTCTCTTCCAGGGCTGGAGCAGTGCAAGCCCGAGTGTGACAGAGGACAGGGTGGGGGCAGGACCTCAGAGCATGGTCTCCAGGGCTGTAGTCACAGCCAAGAGCCAGGAGTAGGACACAGATAGGAGAATCGGCAGGGCACGGGATGCCAGGGGGATACCTGGCTGTGGTCACCCAACAGTCCCATGGAGTGCTCCGTGCTTGCCGAGCATGTTCACGCAGTGACATGCCTCAACCCTCCCTAACCGCAAGCCCAGAGCTGTGCCGCTTCAGGGGGCTCAGATAGGAGCAGCACGGGATGAACCCGGATCTGAGGGGCCCAGGCTGCAACGTGCGTGCTCAGGGAGGCCTCACAGCGCTGCAGGCCAATCCGGGGCTGCACTCAGTTGGGGTCTGCAGCCTGGCTCCAGGGCAGACACTGGACAAAACCACACATTTCAGGTTCTGTCCTGCCCACATGACTCACTGACTACAGAGCCCTGGGGGCTCATGGGAGGAGTGGCTGGCAGGAGTCTTCCTTGAATCCTGGTGATCTGGTGAACAAGGCAGGGCCCTGCAGGCGTGTGTACACATGTGTGTGCCCAGGGTGAGCAGGGGTGGGCATCTCTGCAGGTGTGTACAAGTGTGAATGCTATGTAGGTGTGTGTCAGTGTGAGTGTATTATACAGGCTGAGTGGGTATGTGCAGGACAGAGCATGTGTGCAGGGGTAGGTTTCTGAGCGTGTGTACAGAAATGAGTGTGTGTGAGCGTGGGTGCTGGTGTGTGTGTTCCTGTGTGTGTATGAGCAAGTGTGTGCAGCTGTGTGAGGACGTGGGATGTTTGTGTGCCTGCCGGTGTGAACATGTGTGTATATACACATGGGTGTGTCCAGGTAAGTGCAGGGTATGCGTGTGTTTCAAGATCTCTACTACCCTGTGCTGCCCACTGTAAGGTACCTGGAATGTCACCTCTCGATTCTCCTCAAGGTCCACCTTGTTGCCCACCAGCGCCACCATGACCTTTCCAGGCTCCAGCTCCTTCCCCAGTCCTCAAGCCACTGCTGTGCTTGAGGAAGGACTCCTGTGGAGAATAAGATTCCTGAGAACAGGACACTCTTTAGGAGAACAGAAATCCTGAGAACAGGACCCCTGAGGAGAACTTGACTCCTTAGGAGAACAGGACCCCTGAGGAGAACAGAACCCAGAGGAGAACAGAACCCTGAGGAGAACAGGACCCCTAAGGAGAACAGAACCCAGAGGAGAACAGAACCCTGAGGAGAACAGGACCCCTGAGAAGAACAGGACTTCTGAGAACAGGACCCAGAGAACAGGACCCAGAGGAGAACAGGACCCCTAAAAACAGGACCCCAGAGGGGAACAGGACCCCAGAGAACAGTACCCCTGAGGAGAACAGGACCTTGAGGAGAACAGGACCCAGAGGAGAACAGGACCCAGAGGAGAATAGGACCCCAGAGGGGAACAGGCCCCCAGAGAAGAACAGGACCCCTAAGAACAGTACCCCTGAGGAGAACAGGACCTCTGAGTAGAACAGGACCCCTGAGGAGAATAGGACCCCTGAAGAGAACAGAACCCTGAGGAGAACAGGACCTCGAAGGAGAATAGTGCTTCAGAGCAGAATAGGACCCCTGAGAAGAACAAGACCCCTGAGGAGAACAGGACCCCTGAGGAGAACAGGACTCCTATGGGGAACAGGACACTGCTGGGCCCAAGGGTGGCCATGTCCCCACTCCAAGCACAGAGCTGGCAGTGGCCTCTTGTGGGAAATGTTCCTGGAACATCACCTGAAA